AACTCTCCCCCCGTTTCTATAAGAAAAAAAAGATAAGCACTCCTGGCCCTGATGCTGCTGCTGCTGCTGCTGCTGAGCTCACTTCTCATTTGCTTCCTCTGCAACATCTCTCTCCTTGTATCATCACCGAGGGAGTCCTCTTTATTTCCAGCATCTGTGCTGTGATGAGAAACACCAGCTAACTAGGCCACAGCATAATAAGCATAAATAGCAGCAAAGCAAAGAGAATAAAAAAAGAAAGTAGGAGAAGATTCTGTTAATGGGGGGAATGCTTACTAAACACGTAACTGCTGACAAAACTAAGTCAGTAAGCAAATATTCCCATTATTCCTGCAATGCAGATGCATTATTTTGTTATTGCTTACCTATACCTATAACTTCCACAGAGTTTCATCATCTAATTTCCACAGCGAAGCCCCTGAGCTGTGCTGCCATGTGACTGTCAGCACACCTCACTGACTTTTCCTTTGGTGTCTGTATCAATGCTGGAATGCCTGCTGCTGCAGCATTTTTGTGATTCTCAGCATTTTTGCTCGTGATTTACTTTATCTAAAACTTCATCATGTTCTACTGAAAGATCCGAGATGTGAGATTTGTTGTTACGCCCTACTGATATTTTTCAAATTTGCTGCTTCTCAATAAATACACTACTTTTCCTTGAATAGAACTCACTATCTTCAAAAATCCTCCAGCAGTGATTAGCTGGAAATATGTTGTTTGATGGTACTTGATGTAAAAAATAACTTCTCATTGCTTAAAACAACTGTGTTGGAAAACAAATTTGTAATACGTTATAAAAAGGTCAAATTATTGGTCTGCTTAAAGCAAGCAAACAAACAAACCACTCAAGGTGCTGACAAAACAAGTAAAATTAAGTACGAAACAGCAAAGTGGTTTATTATAACCTGGAAGAATGATTGTTAACTACTAATTTTAAAAAGTGTTGTTTTAGTCCCACCCTACCTTTAATATTACCAGCTGGTGTTTTTGATACCATTGAACCACCTGATTGGTCCCCATTACAACAAGGTGAAACTTGAGTGTGCATCTGTGGAACAAACAACACAATTCTATGTGTGGGTACCACCCTGAAAAGGTGCTAAAAGTCCCCTGCACTACCCTCCTGCTGGTGTTCAGTGTTATTGTGAGTTGTTAGGTGAGCTCAGTTTCAGTTTATTTATTTATAAAGCAACTTACACAACCTTATCAGAAGGTCAAGATGCTGAACACAATCACAAAATCGCACAATGGCATTATATGATAGGCATTATTATGATCCCTATCACTGAAATGCCATCAGAGAACATTGAGTCTTCAAGCGAGACTTAAAGACATCAAGTGATGGTGCCTGCCTAACACTTAAAGCCAACTCCTTCCAGAGCATTGGAGCCAGAACTGCGAATGCGCGATCCCCCTTGGTCTGTATTTGGTGCGGGGGACCACTAACATCTCCTGCTTAGCCGAGCAAAGAGACCAGGATGGGACATGCTTATGTTGTAGTACTGACAGATAAGAGGGAGAAGAGCCTTAAAGAGCCCCGTACACCAGTAGCAGGATCTTGAATTTTGCTCGGTGCTGCACCGGGACCCAGTGTAGGGCCGCTAGCCCCGGAGTGCTTTTTTCCTAGCATCTAGTGTCTGAAAGAAACCTAGCAGCTGAGTTCTGGACAAACTGGAGCTGTGCAAATGTGCCCTGACTGAGACTGGCATACAAGGCATTACAGTAGTAGTTGGGAAAGGACAAAATCATGAAGGACAGACACTAGGTGTGCCCTAGACAACAGGGGCTTGATCCCAGACAAGCGTCTGAGATAAAAAAAATAAATAAATAAATAAAAACACTTCCACACAACCTTGTTAATGTGTGTGTCAAATTTAAAGCCTCAGTCAAATTTTATCCTGAAGTTGCTGACTACTTTTTTTTTCCATGTTGTGGCAAAGGGCCAATACCCACATCAGAGTCAGAGCCATCTAATCAGTCAGAGTTGAAAATTATGACTTCACTTTTAGAGTCAGGTGTAAAAATATTTGAGGCCATCCAGGCTCTGGTGTCTGTTGAACAGTCCAGCAATGGAGAAGAAGATAGATCTTGCAGTCATCAGTGCAAAGATGGAATTCCCCAAAGGGAGTAGAAATACTGCAAACAAAAGGGGGCCAGGGACTGAGCCCTGTGGCACACCCCAGCGGGGTCTCACCCAGGATGATTCCGTTATCCCACAGTGCACAGTTACAGTTACATTTTACACTGTCTGGGACCTCAATACCATGTGAAAAATCAACAGTTAGGTTCCTTATTATACTGGATTTGAATCCCATTACTCAGTCAGGAGCTTTTGAAGGTCAACCAGGTGGTAGCTGAGCAGGAGATGATTAATATTGTCAAACCTTCTGAGGCTGACAGTACATTTAGCTCATTTTTGTCATTCCATGGATGCACAATCCTTACAAGTAGTTCTTTTTTAAGGTCCAGTATTGCCCAAGCATACTTCACTGGGAATTGAACCTGATCAGTGGACAATTGTTTTCCCTTGTCAAACACTGGCTTAATTTGTTAAAGAGGTCCATCACTAAGAAACCAACAAAGAAAGAAAAACCAAGTATTTTTTTTATTTTATTTTATTTTTTTATGACTGGTTGCTCTAAGTTTAACATGCAGGCTGAACATGAAAAAAGCCTTCTACACCTATTGCCTGCATTAGTTACTGAGAGAAAATAGATGGTGAAATGCTAGGAGAGGGGTACTTAATTCCAGGCCTGGAGGGCTGATATCCAGAATGTTTTAGTGGTTTCTCTGCTCCAGCACAACTGATTCCGTGCTCAAATCACCTGTGCAGCAGTTCATCAGGCTCTGCAGCAGCCTGTTAACTATCTGCTGATTTAAAGCAGCTGTGTTGAAACATGGTTAAAACTAAAACACATTGGATACCGGCCCTCCAGGCCCAGAGTTGAGTTACCAGTGTGTCTGCTCTGTCTTCTCCATCCCCAGTGTGTCATGGTGGATGGCTGCTTATACTGAGCCAGGATCCTCTGGAGGTTTGTTCCTGTTAAAAGGAAGTTTTCCTCTCCACTGTCATTGCATGCTTGCTTAGTATGAGGATTGCTGTAAAGACTCAGACACCAGTCAGTGACTTGATGCAATTTGCTGGGTTCCTTATATAGGAAACCTTTTACTGATTGGCTTAATGAACTGACCTGTATTGGAATGTTTACTATGTAAAGTGCCATAAGATGACTCTTGTCGTGATTTGGCGCTAAATAAATAAACTTGACTTGAAATGAATTGAACTGAGCTAGGATTTGAAAAGCCTTATCGTCTACGTCAAGCTGTTAATTGGACTCACTCATCTTGAGTCACGATGGGGGAAAGCTGTTTTTGGTATAGCGTCCAGGAGACATCAGAGAATGTCTCGACTAGTAGAAGCTAACTGTTAGCATTAGCGACTCACCACATGGCAGAACTCTTCCAGGCTTGTGTTATTTGCGGAGATAAAACATCAATGTTGCAGAGCAAATAGTCAGTGGTGGAGTTAAGTTGCTGTTATTCAACCCAAGGCAAGATGTCCAACTATCAAGAAATAAGACTCCAATTCTTGTCGTCTGAATCTACTCTCTCCTCTGGCTGATCCGGTACACCGGACCTTTTTTTCCCCAGAATACAACTTACAAGACATTCATACCACTGCAAATGTATGTGAGTGAAGGACCTTTTTCATTTCCACATCAAGAAAATGGGAACAAAAATTCCATCCATCCATTTCTTCCCGCTTATCCGGGGTCAGGTCGCGGGGGCACTAGCCAAAGCAGGGAGGCTCAGACTTCCCTCTCCCCCAGCCACCTGGACCAGCTCCTCCAGGGGAATCGAAAGGCGTTCCCTGGCTATTAATGAGACATAGTCCCTCCAGCATGTCCTGGGTGTTCCTTTAGGTCTTCTCCTGGTTGGACATGCCCGGAAAACCACACAAGGTAGACGTCCAGGAGGCATCCTGACTAGATGCCCAAGCCATCTCAACTGGTTCCTCTCGATGTGGAGGAACAGCGGGTCTACACCGAGCCCCTCCCATATGAGTGAGCTCCTCACCCTATCTCTAAGGGAGAGACCATCCTTACAGCGGAGAAAACTCATTTCAGCCGCTTGTATCCGCAATCTCATTCTTTCAGTCACTACCCAAAGCTCATGACCATAGGTGAGGGTAGGAACGTAGATCGACCGGTAAATCGAGAGCTTCACCTTCTGGCTTAGCTGTCTCTTCACCACGACAGACCAGTACAACGCCCACATCACTGCAGAGGCAGCACCAATCTTCCTATCAGTCTTGCGCTCCATCTTTCCTCCTTCTCTTGGAGCAAAACCATGGTCTTGGATTTAAAACTAACAAAACAAAAAATAATATTAATGATGTTTGTTTTGTGTTTAAACATTCCCATATTTTTTCATTTATATTTAGGAGTTTTTAAAGTTATTTTTAGGTTTTGTGCAATCTCACACATTTGATCGACCAAATCGTGACCATGTTGCTAAAGGAACATTTCAAAACATTCTAGATACTAATTGTTAACCTGTGTAACACAGTGTGGACATAATTATTATAATTAATTTATAACTTGTTGGTGACTTTTTATTTGTTTTTTTCATAACCTCCCATTTTTGTTTTTGCTCAGTAAAATTCCTTCTAAATTGGGGACTGTATTGAAACCAAATTAAATACTTTAAATATTGATCAAATTAAAAGAACAGAATGAAAGTAAAGTTGATGAAGCTCTGACCTGCAGGTTGCCTTATCTAAACATTATTAGCTGAGATGCAGTAGGTATATTTAGATGAAAACATCAGCAAAAATAAACAACAAACAACATGGTATTTTGAGAGTTTTAAAGTAAAAAGGAGAAGTTTTTCTGATTATATGTCAGTTTCTGGTGCATTTATGTGACCCAAAAATCTAAAAGTTGCAGTTTTGATACATGACGGTCTACTGCATCACATCTTTTGTCCTCTCTCTCTAGTGTGGAGCATGACTTCCGTCTACAGGAGGGGCAGGTGGTGCGCACGTGGAAGGTGGGCGACCCTCCTGAAGGCTCTCCACAGACTCCCAGCCCCCAGGCGGCAACACCGCACCAACAAGGCTCCCCACAGCTCGTGCAGCCCCCCGTCACCTCCAAGAAGAACCGGAAGAAATGCTTCTGGTTCCTCTGAGCATTGGGGCAGAAACGTACATTTGATTCTGTAAGGCACCTCACATGATTCATTTGAAATGGATTCAAATTCAAACACAAAACCGAAGAAGGAAGAAGTGACAGAGGTTGTGTTTTACCTACTTCTGTTGGAGTCGAGGAAAAGGGTTTGACTCTGCTGCACATGTTGTTACTGTTGTTGTATTTTTAATGCCTCTTCAGCACTTAGAGATTTGATACAGGTGCAGGGAAGTAAAAGTGCTGAAGTCGAGAAAAGCAAAAGTTTACCCGGTGTTATGACTCACAGTTAGAAAGCAATTAGGAAATATAAAGAGAATAAGAACCGTCCAGGGATACCGAACAGGAGTCAAGGCAGCAGATAAGGTGGAGAATATTTTTAAAGGGGAGATTAATAGAATTTATGAGCAAAAGGGAGAAAATTGCAGAAAATAAAACTTAATCTCTATTAATGGACTAATGAGGGTCAGAACACCAGCTTTTATATCAAGAGACATTTAAGGGAAAAGAGCTCAAATGACCGAATTTAAAGCTTTTACTATATTGTTATTGATGAAACCACTATGTGTGTCCACATGTACATACACGCACGCACGCACGCACACACACACACACCCACACACACACACACACACGCACATCTATTTACAGAAGGAGCATATGTTAAGAGAAAACAATGAGTTCTGTATATTTCAGAGCTATTCTGCTTGGATGCTTTATTTCAGATATGGATTATTGCTCTATAAAAGTATTTTACCACAGCTGCCTTCGGTGTGCGTGTGTCATTCAGGTTCAGCTTCATCTTTTTACAAGCAAAACGGTTCTCCAAAACCTATTCCATTCATCATTCCAGGTCTTGCGAGGTAAACATAAAAGCCATTACTATTGGGCAAGGACGTGAACGTTGTGATTTGACTTGTCGCTTCAAAAAAGGAATGTTCATCGAAACATTTTCCGATTCTAAAACATGAGTGAGTATTTATGGTGCTTAAACAAAACAAATACAATTACATCTGCAAAACGTACTTGTTGATTTCTCATGAATGGCGTCCCTTTGAGCAGGAATGTGTTTAATTCATCTGTTCAACATCTAATTTACTGGATAAATTACCCAAAAAATAAAAAAATAAAATAAAATAAAAGCCAAGTTTTGCCTTTAAAAATTACATTTTAGAAACTTAACAAAAAATATCAACATGAGAAGTCTAATTATTTGTCTCTTGTTGGGAATTTGGCAAAGTATCACCATCCATTTCAATATTACCTTGACATGTTGCTGCAATGAAAGGAAGTTACCGCTGTGGGGGAAATAGTATTTACCTGCCAGGATTCCTCAGAAAGAAAAACATTTATTCAAAGTAAAACGGTAACAAATAATCAAACTATTAATGTTTTATTACCTACTCCCACTTGTGTTTGACAAAAAGAAGAATCCTCCTTGTTTCCTTGTTTAGTACCTCTTTAGCCAGAATTGCTAAAACAATAAAGAATTTTTGATAATCATTTTGTAAATTATCAAGTTTTTGTCTTTGTCTTTGTTTTCGAGAAATTCTGCTGATTCCAATTATACTTTATAGATTTTCATGCCACTTTTTGCAACAATGAGGAGAAAACCAACAGACATCAGATTCAGGTGGATAAAATAAAGTAGGGAAAAAGAACAAAAGGTGCTTCAAAAGCAAGGAATTCAAGGTGCAAATTGAACAAGAATAAGCAGACTTGGCATGGAATCAAGGACGACTTCCTGGAAACTCAGTGGCGTAGTAGTATACTGTCCACCCTGAGACTGGAAGATCAGGGTTCCATTCCTGGTCGGGTCATACCAAAGACTTTGAAAAAATGGGACCCAATGCCTTCCTGCTTGGCACTCAGCAATAAGGAGTTGGATTGAGGGGTTAAACCACCAAATGGTTCCTGAGCACGGCTGAGTCTGCAGCTCACCGCTCCCCCAGGAGATGGGTCAAATGCGGAGAACAAATTTCGCACACACATCAGTGTGTGTGACAGCTGATGAGACTTTGAAAACCTTAAAACATCACGGATTCTGATGAGGATAAAGGATGTAGAGCAGGTGTGACAATCAGATAATTAGAAGGAGGTGTGAGTGGAGAGAAAGTAACTAAATCCAGTATCTCACTGGACGGTGACTGTAGGAGACAAATTGCAAACAACGCTAGTGAAGGAGTTTTGAGATGTTGACGAGTTCTCTATTTCCTCCTACGAATCGAAGGACCTCGCTCATAAGTTTTGGGGCAGATTTTGGACATGATCAAGGTGTGTTGGCAGCATGTTTTCCACAAAACTAGCCACAAGTGGTTTCAGGCATGGGTTTGATTTTAAAGTGAGTTTAGAGTGAAATAGAGACAACCTTGGAATGAGATGGTGACTACATTCAGATAAAAATACTGGTAAATTATTGACAAATGAGAGTCAACTGTTTGACTACAGTCATGCTGCAGATAGAAGTGACCAAAAGGGACTCAAATGATTCAGAACAAGGTCACATTCAGATGTGGTCCTAAATCGAGTACACATCTGATGATTAAAGAGTGACAAACATCACAATTCTGCATGAGGTGAGATGCAGTAAAATCACTTGTAAACAATAAATCCAGCTTTCTTTCAGCACTTGGTCCTGGGTTTGTTGGCAGATTGTCTGTTTTTACCCACTTATCCGAGTTTGGCTCGCAGGGTAGCAACTCCATCAGAGAGGCCCTTACCTCCACCAGCAGAAGAGCCAGGTATTCCCTGACCAACATGAAGATATAAGTAGAACTAATTATAACATCAGTGGAAAAATAACAAGTAATAAAAATAGTATACTTCTGAGTCCAGTAACTAGCGATGAAATAAGAATCATTGTAAATAAATGCATCAATAAAATAACTACTGACTTTAAAATTCTAGACATAACATTAATAAAAAATATAATAGAAAATATCATCTATCCCTTCACTTACATATGTAATTTATCTTTCACAACAGGGACATTTCCAGATAACATGAAAATAGCAAAAGTCATACCAATATACAAAAGTGGTGAAAAACACTTTTTCCAGTTACAGACCAATATCCTTATTATCGCAATTTTCTAAAATGTTAGAAAAACTATTTATTACTAGGCTAGATGAATTCCTGATGAAAGAAATTTATTAAACAATAGTCAATATGGTTTTAGAACTAATTATTCTACTTCCATGGCACTAATGGAACTTACAGAAGAAATATCAGAAGCCATTGACAAAAAGAACCATTTCATAAGTATTTTTTATTGATTTAAAAAAAGCGTTTGATACAGTAGATCATGAAATTCTTCTTAAAAAACTTGGTAAATATGGTATCAAAGCAATGGCTCTAAAATGGTTAACAAGTTATTTGAATGATAGGAAACTATATGTACAAATAAATGACATTAAATCAAATCTACGTGATATTACTTGTGGGGTATCACAAGGGTCAGTACTGGGTCCGAAACTATTTATTATGTATATAAATGCTTTTGCCTCTAAATCAAATATATTAAAATGTATTCTATTTGCAGATTACACTACATTTTATTATGCAGGAGATAATATCAAACAGATGGTAGAAACTGTACAAACTGAGATGAAAAAAATAAAATTATGGCTTGACGGGAATAAACTCTCATTAAACACCGATAAATCATGTTTCATGATATTTAGTAAAAGTAACTCAAATGATACAAGTCTATTAAATATAGATGATTTTAATTTTACAAGAGTAAAAGAAGTAAAAATTTTTGGGAGTTATAATCGATGAAAATGTATCTTGGAAGCCACATATAAACAACGTGAAAACTAAAATAGCTAAAACAATTGCAATGTTACATAAAGTAAAATGGTCACTGGATGATAACTCCCTATATTTATTATATAATTCACTTATTGCACCATATTTGAACTATTGTATAGAAATCTGCGGCACAACATATAAAACTTATACAAATTCCATCTCTATATTGCAAAAAAATAAATAAGAATCATTACAAGGAGTAATTACAGTGATCCATCTAACCCGTTATTCATAAAAACAAAAACATAAAAATTCTATGACCTAGTGGACTACAATATTTCTAAATGTATGTATAATGCAAACAAAAAAACCTTCCTAAAAATTTACTTAGAAGATTTATAAAAAGACAGAGTAAATATGAACTAAAAGGACATGAATTATTTACAATACCTAAGCATAGACGACGACGATGAAAAACTAATGAAAAATGAAATACTGGAATCATATACGTGCAAATCAATTATATGAAAAACAAATAAATTAATAAATAAAGCTATAGAAGATGTGTGTAGGTATATTCATGTGTGTATGTATAAATATGTATGTATGTTTGTTTATGTATATGTAGTGGATACGTATGTATGTCAATATGTATATGTATAGATGAAGAATGTGCGACCATATGGGCATGCGATGCACTTTAATGTATATATGTATGAATGGGTATATGTGCAACAATCCTTTTGCTTTTTGAATTGTTATTATTACTATTAATTTTCTCTTTCTTCTTTACAAATTGAACTCAAGTTAGCTAAACAGTCGAGCAATTACTTTGTATAGGCTAATTTATAATTACTGTTATTTCATTGCAAAAATGTCATTTTAGTTAAAAAGGGTTAGATAACATAAGTTTTCTTCTTCCTGTTCCCTTTTCATTTTCTGGGTTTGAGAAACCTCATTTAATTTGTTAGTATTGTTTTTTTCTATTTTAATAATAAATGAAATATATATATATATATATATATATATATATATATATATATATATATATATATATATATATATATATATATATTTAATCCCCCAACATTTCCTGGGTTGACCCAGGAAATGCCCAGTTTCCTACCCACAGGTAGGCTCAATAATGTCCTATAATATATAATGTCCTACCCACAGGATGCCCAGTTGAGGGCATCCTGTGGGTAGGACATTCCTGAAACACCTCCTCTGAGAGGCATCCAGAAGGCATTCTTCCTAAATGCATGAATCACCTCAGCTGGCTCCTTTCAACGAGGAGGAGCAGCAGCTCTACTCCTGGTCCCTCCAAGTTGTCCGATCTTTTCACCCCCTCTGTGATGCTGAGTCCGGACACCCCACAGAGGAAACTCATTTAAGTTGCTTGTGTTCGGGATCTTGTTCTTCTGGTCATCGCTCAAAGCTCTGAACCACAGGTTTGGGTGGAGATGAAGATTTCCTGGTAAATTGAGAGCTTTGCTTTGTGACTTAGTTCCATCTTCACCAAAACTGATCAGTTTCGTGTCCGCATCACTACTATGACCCGCCTGTCGATCTCCTTCTTTCTCTGGTGAACAAGACCTTGCCGAAACCTAAACACACCCACTTGAGGTAGGACCTTTCATCTCGAACCGAATTTAGCAATCCACTCATTTCCAGGCTAATGACACTAAGCATCACACTTTTATGGCAGAAAATGTGAAAGCTATCAATATAACAACACAGCAATGTGAAGTCCTCCCACATTTTCAAACCGTGGATTGTTATTCTACTACTTTTTGGTTTTAGGTGTTTTAAGTGAAGCAGGACTTAACTAGCAGCACTTGACTTTAATCACCTCTAAAATACAAGCCTTAGCAAACAGTTGTTGATATCTAGGAATACGAAGAGGATTTTGTGAGAGAATGCAGCCAAAAAGGAGCTTTTAAATTCCTCAGATGGTGGTTCACAGAGCCCACTTTCATGGACACTCTAGGGCAAGTCTCAGGAAATTAAGCCTCAGCTGTTTGATGGCAGTGAGAAGCTCCAAATATTACTACTTAGTGATTCATGACACACTTATAAGCTGCTTCTGTGAGGCTCTGAGGTGATATGAAAACCTGGCCTAATTTAATTCCAAAGTCGCAAAGTGTTCACTTTCAGTTAGTTTCCCTTCTGGTTTGACTGTTTTTGCCTCAAACAACACATTAAGGAAGGCAAACATAGTCGATGCTGCATATTTATTGGAGAAAAAATATTGGTGGAAATTGTAAATTCCTTTTATTAATTCCCTGGACTCACAAGGTGCTGGTACACAGCTGTTCACACAATTCAGGCTGAGCTCAACCAACAAAGGCCCCATGCCCTATGACTTACCTCCAACCTGCTGTGCTGCGCCCAGGTGTGGAGGCGCTTTAGCTGCACGTACCAAAGCCTGAAAATCAGCAACACAACCGCACATCGTCTCACAGCTAACACATTGTTCCCAGACTGACACAATGCATTATCTCCCCCGCAGATGTTCCCTTCTCGATCACAACCAGGCACTGGCTCTTTCCTGGTAACGCTGTGTGTGCCGTGCAATGCTGAGGAGTGTAGAGTTGTCAGTCATTAATCTGCTACAGCACAGCCTGTAATCCTGATGACAGAGCGGAGCAGGCTTACAGGGAGCAGAGAGAGGATGTGAGCCCAGCCTGGAGTAGGGAACAAAGGCTGGCTTTGAATCCACAAAGAGAAGAAAATGTGTGTGTGTGTGT